CGCATGCACGCCGCCACGTAAGGAACCTGAGGCGGAGGTAGATGAACAGACGCTTCGGTATCTTCAGGAGTGGAGGAGTACGCAGGACTGTGGATGGATGGAGGTGTTGAGGAGGATGGTGGAGTTAGAAGTGCCAGAACCTACCCATCATTACCAGCCGACGCGGATGCTCAGCTACATAGATCGGCAGTTTATTTCGATGCCTGGGTGGATGCTCCTGCAGATGTCCGTCGAGGGGAAGGTAGTTGAATACCCCGACATGCTCAGCAAGAAAGGGATATCCGACCACGCCCCGATCCAGGTCACCCTCAAACCTGCTGGACCTATCCCGGCCTCTGAGAGGCCAGTCGCCCCCGAAGTTTGCGAACATCCTGACTACGTTCGGTTCCTGGAAGCGGTAGAGGCTGAGTGTGACCAGAGCAGGATGACACCACCCTTGTTGAGGCTAGCATTTCAGACAGAGATGATGCGTGAGGCCGCCAAGATCGCTCGGGACTCCCTGATTCGGAAATCACCATCATCAAGTTTTACCCAGCTCCTGGTCATCAAAAGTATCGGGCGGTGCCTCTGGAGGCAAGATGTGCGTCTAGCACACCGCGTTTGGCGATCTCACGCTCTAGGTAAGGAGTTTCTACAGATCAACCTGCTGGAGGGGACAGTGGAGTTGATCAACCCGCCAGAGTTCCAGAGGCGAGCCAATGAGATTCACTTCACTATTGCCAAACAACGAGAAGCTAAACACAAACAAGACATTGCGAATGCCAGTGCAGAGCCCGCCAGAGCGAAAGCCAGGCGACGGCTAAAGTGCACGCATCGCAGGAGCCGCCTCTGGACGCCTTTCGATCGCAGAATGACTTTGCAGGGAGTACGCGCTTCCGATGGGGAGTCGGTGGTCTCGTCGCCAGCTACCGTCCTCCAAGAGCTTGGGGATCATTGGCGACCCGTGTTCGCAGAAAAGTCCATCAATGTTTCAGCTGCCCAATCTTATCTTCGTCAACATTGTGATGATATTGATCTTTCAGACCTTCCCCCTCCATCCTTGCATGCGCTTCAACGGCGTATCGAACGTGCGGAAGATAGTTCCCCTGGGTTGGATGGCCTCCCCTATCGAGCTTGGAAACGACATCCACACGGTCTTAACATTCTAGATGAGGTGGTCTGGTGGTTATTAAGTGGGAGGAGCATGTCACCAGCATTCAATGATGTACGAGGAGTTTTCATAGCCAAAGGAGATGAGGAGCAGGATTCCCATATGGTCGTTCGGAACGCTGAAGCTACCCGGCCTCTAGGACTAAAACAATCGTCGAACAAGCTGGTCACGGGCGTCGTTTTCGAGAGTTTATCCCGTCGACTGGGTGATAAAGTCCATTATTCTCAAAGGGGATTCGTCGGAGGGAGGAATTTCGGTCTAAATATTCTCGAGCTCGACGTGCGAGCCCGAATGGTTTCGATGCTCCCCGATGCCGCTGCTCGGCTTCCAGCTTTGATATCTTTCGATTATGGACAGGCCTTCCCGTCGGTCGCGCACCGATGGATCATGATGACGCTTGCTGCCTTCCATGTGCCGCTGCCCATGCAGATCTTCGTAGAGACGTTGTACACGAGCGTGCGCTGCTTTGGCACATTCGGCAGAGTATGCAGTTTCTTGTTCTACATCATGTCGGGGATCATTCAAGGATGCCCAGGGTCTGGCGCCCTGTTCGCCGTCGGGAGCCACCCCTTTCTCGTGGACATGTGGAAACGGCTGGAAGCTCAGAATGATGTGCCACCTGGCGAGCTGCGAGAAGATCTCACAGGTCCAGCTCGAGAACGCCAGATGAGTATGGCAAGGGCTTGTGCTGATGATATTGGATCTGTGGTTTCAGCGCTTCGTGATCTTCTTCAACTGAAGGACGTATTCGACTGCAGTGAGGCCCTTGCGTGTCTCAAGCTCAAGTATGCCAAGTGTTTCCTGGTTCCTCTTGCGGGCCCCTTCTCGCCCACCCTCGTCGCCAAGTATCGATTCTGGCTTCAGAACTTTCTCCCCGATTGGGGAGCGCTCCAGGTTGTGAGTTCCCTGACCTATCTTGGCATGATTCTTGGGCCCAGCGTGACCACTGAGAGCTGGCACAAGCCTCTTTTGAAATGGGCAGGACGTACAGTGCAGATTGCCAAGGTCGGCGCCCCGCCGACCATCACTGAATACATGTACTCTAGTCGTGCCGTCTCAACCCTCACCTATGTCGCCCAATTCTGTCCCATCCCTGAGCTTTGCCCTGCCCTTCCCGCCCCGCTCTCTCGTGTTGAGCATGCCTCCTTCGCCTCTCTCTTCAAAGTCCCCCATTGCTCGCTTCCACGGAGTGGCTGGTTCTCGCTTCACCAATGGGGAGGACCGCAACTCACAAGTGTGAGGTCATTGAGCTGTGCCACGCTAATGAGAGCCGCTGTCAACACGTTCCCTGAATATCGAATGCTCTTGGACCAGCTATCTGAGTTTGCCTCTCGCCATCTCGAGATCGTTGATCTCTCGGCTGAGAAGCTGTCCCCGCGCTTCTGGCAGTCACCAGCGTTTGTGGAGCATCTCTCGGATGCGGCAGGTGGCTTCTCTCGCTCTCGGGACCTTGCTCGAGCTGGATCGATCGCCCGTGATGCTGCGCTGGAGCTCTTGACCTCTGCCTCCGCCCTCCCTCGCCCCCCCAAGAATGTGAAGATGCAAGGTAGACTGCTGAAGATTTTCCAACGAGAACTCTTCCCTGATTCCCTGGACGTTGTTTTCTCGGAGCGTTGGGCTCGTTGGTTCCCTGAGGCCGCGGAGGTCCTGGTGCACGTGAAATGGGAAGAGGTCCGTGAGCTTCTCATTCGAATGAGAGGCCCTTTAGTGAATGCGATATGGAAGACTCTCTCTGGTAGTTGGATCACAGCCGTGCGGTTTCACGACAGTGAACCACTATGCTGTCTGCTGGGCTGCGGTGGCCCTGACAGCTTTGTCCACTATTGGTGCTGCCCACGCTTTATCCAGCTTCTCGAATCTGTGCTGTGCTCCCAAGTCCATTACTGTCCGATTTGTCGCTCTGGTGTTTTTCTTCCGACCATCTCTAGTCTTACCGTCCCTGCTGCTGCCTATCTCCTGTTTGTGAATCTCCGCTCGCTCTTCATGCCACCTGAACCTCTCACTTTAGAGGTGGCACAGTCGGCTGTTCCCCTCACGAGGGTCCAGCTCACGCGGGCGAGGGTGCGCGGCGGCCAGCGCGGATGAGGGACACGCGGCGCGCAGCTACGTGCGAGGAGGAGGAGGAGGAGGAGGAGGAGGAGGAGGAGGACGGGGAGGAGGGCGAGGAGGAGGAGGAGGGGGGGGAGAACGAGGAGGAGGAGGAGGAGGAGTTAGAGAAGGAGGAGGAGGAGGAGAAGGAGAAGGGGGGGAGGAAGAGAAGGGAGAGGAGGAGGAGGAGGAGAGGAGAGGAGGAGGAGGGGAGGAGGAGGAGGAGGAGGAGGAGGAGGAGGACCCCGACCCCCTCGCGCTGGAAAAGAAGCAGAACGGGAGGTTGTTCTCTGCTGTCGGCCTCCGTCGGCCCCGGCTGGGCCGCGGGACCGTCAAGAGACGGCGCGGGACGAAGAGCCCGACCTGGGGGAGGAGTCCAGACCTCTCGGGGTCAACGTGGTGAAAAAATCTCGATCTCGGGGGTCCGGGTTGGGCGTCGCGTAATGGGGGGCCCCAAGACCGCCAAAAAACGACGCAGGACGAAAAACCCGTCCCGGTGAAGGGGTCCAGACCTCGGGGGGTCGACGTTGCGAACAAAAACCACGGCGTCGGGGGCCCCGGAATGCGGGGACGAAAGGTGCACTTCTCGGGCCCCAGCTGCTCTCTTTGGGCCCTGCAAGGGCCCCTTTAGGGCTCCTTTTCTGCGGTCCTAGCCGCCCCCTCGTTTTCACTGGAGCGGAATCTGCGTCAGATGGTCGAGGCACCTCCGAAGGGGTGGCGCCTGCCAATGAGTGCAGTGTCCCACGCGGGGATGCGGAGCGGAGCGGAGGAGGAGGGGAGAGGGGAGACAGGGAGTCAGCACAAGGGGGGGACGGGAGGCGGGACAGAGACGGCGGGAGGTGTGGGGGGGGGGGGAAGAGGAGGAGGAGGCGGAGGAGGAGGAGGAGGAGGAGGAGGAGGAGGAGGAGGAGGAGGAGGAAAAGGAGGGGGGGGGGAGGAGGAGGAGGAGGAGGAGAGGAGGAGGGAGGAGGCGGAGGAGGAGGAGGAAGGAGGAGGAGGAGGAGGAGGAGGAGGAGGAGGAGGAGGAGGAGGAGGAGGAGGAGAGGAGGAGGAGGAGGAGTGAGGAGGAGGAGGAGGAGGAGGAGGAGGAGGAGGAGGGGAGGGGAGGGAGGGAAGGGAGGGAGGGAGGGAGGGAGGGAGGAGGGAGGGAGGAGGGAGGGAGGGAGGGAGGGAGGGAGGGAGGGAGGGAGGGAGGGAGGGAGGGATGGATGGATGGATGGATGGATGGATGGATGGATGGATGGATGGATGGATGGATGGATGGGACAGCTTCAAAGGAAACCCACGCGCGGCCGCACGACCGACGCGCGGGCCACGGCCCGCGCGGCCCGCGCGGCCCCCCGCGCGCGCCCGACGCCCGCACCGGCGACGGCGACGCCGTGTCCGCCGCCTCCTCGCCGTCGTCAGCTGGCTGGTGGGGGCAGCAGGGTCCACCCAGCCGCGACGACGGCCCCGCGGGGCGCCGCGCTGGCGGCACTTCCCCGCCCTCTGGCCACGCCAGCGGCGCCAGTGGCGCGTCCGCCTGCCCGCTCTGCCTCACGCCCGCGCCCGTCATGGCAGCAGGGGTGCCGGGGGCGCCGCCGCTGCCGCCGCTGGCCGACGGGCGGGTCGTCTTGCCGCGGATCCTCCTTCGCACTGCTGTCGCGGGCGCGCCGTCGGCCGCGGGCGCGGGCGACGCGGGCGTGCCGCAGGGCGCGGCCGCGCGGTTGGGGCTCGGCGAGCGGCCGCCACGTGGCCTTCGGCCCACGGCCTCGGCGGGGCCCTAGCCATGGGCGTTGTCCCGCGGGGCATCGCGCGCCGCGGCTGCCACGGCTGCGACAGCCAACGCGCTGGCCGCTGCGGCGGCCAGGGTCGCCGCTGGGGCCCCCGGGGCGGCGGCCGCGCCACTGGTCTGCGGGGGGTCCTGGTTGTCCTCCTCCTCCGAAGCCTGGCAGGGGCGGTTGCCCGAGGAGCGGTCCGGCAACCCAAGCTCGGCGGCATCCGCGAGCGGCCCGGCAGCCCGCCCATCGGCCCCGGCGGCCTGCCCTCCAGCCTGGCTGGGGCGGTTGCCAGAGGAGCGGTCCGGCAACCCCAGGACGGCGGCGCCCGCCGAAAGCGCCTGGGCGCCTTGCCCCGCAGCCAGGCAGGGGCGGTTGCTGGAGGAGCGGCCCGGCAACCCAAGCTCGGCGGCGCCCGAGAGCGCCCCGGCAGCTCGCCCGTCGGCCCGGGCGGCCTGCCCTGCAGCCAGGCAGGGGCGGTTGCCGGCCTCCGGTGCAGCGGTGGGGCTCGGGCCTGCGTCGTCCTGTGGGCCTTCCCCCGCGAGACTGCGGCGAGCTGCTCCGAGGAGGTACGCGACCCTCTTGCCGAAGGTACGCTCGTTCGCGGGCGGCTGGGCAGGTCTGGGGTCCAAGGCGGGGGGCACGGCACTGCGGGGGGGCGGGCTGGGCTCCCTGGTGCCCGTGGCTTCCGCCGGTGGGCGGTGGCGGCCTGGCGCGCCAGTGGCCGCGTTGCAGTGCAGGACGACGGCGCCCGAGGCCGGCGACGTGTAGTCGGGAAGCCATAGGCGGGGGCCGAGGGGGCCTCCTGCCGCTGCCGTCGGCGCGCCCACCTGCGAGCCCTGCGTCTGCGCCTGTGTGGCGGGCCGCTGCCGCCGCGGGTGGCCGCTCCCAGGGCCCCTCTTGGCCTCGTTGGGGCGGCCGCTCCAAGGCCCGTGCCGTTGTTGTCGGCGCCTCCCGGGGCTGAGGCCGCACGCCTCCTCCGACTGGTCGCGGCCGGGTGCCCACCTGGCTCACTGACCTGCCTGCGCGAGGGCCGCTGCGCAGCCTGGATGGCCTGGCCGTGGAGGATTCCGATGACTGCCTCGATCTGGCCCGCCGTGGAATTGTCGGTGGCCTCCTCTGCGTGCTGCGGTGGGTCGGCGGGGGCCAGGGCGCCCGAGACGACGTGGGCGATGGTGGCGCTGATGCTGTTGGCCTGCGCGATCGCCTTGGGGGGGCCCAGGTACGAGGGGTAGACGCCCTGGGCGATCCTCTTCAGCGCCTCCGCGGTCTTGCGCGTCGTCGTGCCCTTGCACTCTGACCTCAAACCCATGCCCAGCGTGGTGCCGTAGGCCCCGCAGGTGCCGCAGAAGAAGAGGCTGTTGGCAGGCCACTCGTAGAGGCGGTGCGACTCGTGGGCAGCCCCTGTGCCCATGCAGACGGCGTTGCCTGGCGGGGCCCTGCGGACGTGGTCGAACGTGGCCCAGTCCGCCGCCGTGGCGTCGCAAGGTGTGCGGGCCGCCTCCGACAGCGAGGCGGAGGCGAAGACCTGGCGGCAGAGGAGGCACTTCCACTTGCCCCGGCCGAGCGCGACGATCTGGTGGGCGGAGGTGTCGATGGCGTCCTGGAGGGGCGACCGGCGGGCCACCTGCTCTGCCGCTGGCCTCTCCGTAAGCCATGGGTCACCTCCAGCGGCGCCCAGCAAGGCCTGTCTGGCCCTGCGTCTGACCTGCGACGCGATGACGTCCCAGCGGTCCGCGTGGGGGGCGCTCGCGCTGGCGCCGCTCGCGGCGAAAACGGCCCCGAGGTAGGCGAGCCTGTCGGCGCAGCAGTTGCCCGTGGCGAGGAAGTTCGAGACGATCGGTTCGCCGTCGTCCTCCTGGTGCGAGGGGGCCCAGGAGACCGTAACCCTCCTGGTGGGCTTCGCCGCCAACGCCCTGCCGATACGCGCCCAGAGGTCGCTGTTCTTGCCCGCGCCGAGGTGCAGCCAGCGCTGCCGCTGCCACGCGTTGAGCAACGGCATGTGGTCGGTCACGTAGTCGATGTCCGCGTCGAGGTGCTCGAGGGCGAGGACGAAGGCGTAAATCCCCCCTCGCGGGACCGTCTGCTGCCGCCCAGGGAGAGTGGCTATCGCGCCCGCCTCTAGCTGCCAAGACAAGCCGTGGTTCGCCAGGATGGCCAGCCCGATGCCGACCCTTCGCCTGCGGGGGTCCGTGCCGTGCTTGCCGCCCGAGGCGTCGCCGAAGAGGATCACGGGGCCCGCGGTGCCGATAGGCCAGGGGGCCCCGACCTGCACGTAGACCTCCTCATGGTCCAGCGGCGGGGGCGGCGTGGTGTTGGCTCTGGGGTTGATGCCGCGGAGCCACTGGGCGGGGCACTGGTCCATGCCGTTGAGCGCCTGGGGGATGAGGTGGGCCGTCTGGTCGTAGGCAGGCTTCCCCGTGTTGCATGGGCAGCGCCAGATGCGGTGTTCGAGGGTCTCCGCCTCGCCGAAGCACCGCTGGCACAGCGAGGAGCCCTGGTAGCCAGCGTCAATCTGCCGCTGCCTTGGCCACTGCCCCCCGACCGCGACGAGGTAGTTGAGAGCCCACTCCTGCCAGTGCCCTTGCTTGGCGCAGTGGTCGAGCTTCCGCTTGATATGGGTGACGTCTCCTCGATCGCCGAGGCCTCCTCCGTGGGCGTGATTGGCCGCGCGGCGCCATCGGATCAGGTCGAGGTCCTCGGTGAGGTCGTCCAACAGCTCGGAATACTCGTGGAAGTCAACCTGGAGCCGCCCATGGTGGTCGGCGAGGGGGATCGTCCACTCCTCGACGCCGTCGGCCGTGGGCCTCTTCCAGGAGCCAGGCCCCGTGGGGCTCCAGCCTGCGTCGACCAGCGTGGCGATGATGGCGGCCACGGGGCCGTGGACCTTCCGCCAACGCCCCCCCTTGGCTCGGAGGAGGCGGTGGTGCACGTGGGGCCAGATGCGCTGGGCCCTCCTGTGGAGCTGGGGCCGTGCCAGCCACTGGGTAAGCCACTCGTGGACCAGCTGGGTGCGCAGCTTGAGGGCCGGGTCCTTCAGGTAGTAGAGGATGGCCATGGCGGTGTCCAGGCAGCGACCAGGCCCCGCACCCGCCGCCGCAGCCGCCGCGGTACGTCGGAGCTGGATGAGCCGCGAGGGGGCGATGCCCCAGACCTCGTGGCCGTAGACCGCCTGGGGTTGGACACCGGTAGCGCGGGGGCTGGCGCCCAGCTTGCCGAGCCGAGCGGCAGCGCGGCGGAGGCGCAGCGCGCGCTTCGCGCGGAGGACGGCCTTCGCGCGCCGCGCTCGTGCCCTGCGCTGGGCACACCTCTTGCCGGCGACGACATCCACGCCGAGGTCGACCATGTGGTTGGCGCCGTGGCCAGGGACACCGTGCTGCCGCATGCGCTGGGAGATGTTCTTGCGCAAGCTCGCCGTCGAGGCTACCAGCGTGGTCTTGGGGGAGGCCGTGAGTCGGCTGGCGGCGCTCTGCTGGGCGAGTGCTGCGCTGGCCGTGTCCAGGGAATCCGTGACGACCTCCTTGGTCACCTCGGCCCTCCAGACCGTGTCGTCGATGTAGGACCAGATCGTGGCGGTCTCTGCCTGGGCCTGGGCAGCCTGCAGGATGGGGCACAGGAAGATCTTGCCAAACCTGGTGCCGTTGGTCGAGCCCGCGACGATGGACTGGCTGGCGAAGATGGGCGGCCCCACCCAATCGCCCCTCTTGAGGAGGCGCGGGGCCAGGAATGCCTCCACCTCCAGGGCGAGGACCGTGGAGGAGAAACCGAGGGCGACCGCGCGCTCGATGAGCCAGGCGAGGTCGAGCGAGTCGAAGAACTTCGCGATGTTGGCGTAGAGGGAGGCGTGGTGGATGCCCATGTCTTGAGCGGTCTCGTCCAGGGTGGCCCTGTAGAGGGCGGCGCGCAGGGCCGAGGAGCCCTTGATGGCCGTGTCCCAGTGGTCCTCGAGGGCCAGGGTCCACTGGTCCACCACGTTGCTGCGGGCGCGCGCCCAGACGCGGACGGGCATGGGGAGCAGCCCAAGGAGGCGGTCGCCCCCCGCGGGCTTGCCCGCCACCGCGCCCAGGCTGCCGTTGAGCTGGGGCGGCCACATGCAGTGCTCCTCGGCCTTCTGGAGGATGGCGAGGAACTGCTCCTTAGCGCAATCGGGGAGGCGCTCGATGTCGAGAGGGCTGAGCCTGTCGACACCCTGGGCCTTCCGGGGCCCCAGCTTGCCCGTCGCCGCGTTGAGGCCGTCCATCGTGAGCGGCGGAAGGTCTTCCTCCGCAGCCAGCTTGCGCAGTCCTGCGAGAGCCTCGGGGATGGCGCGCTGCCGTGGGGCTGGGGACGTCCAGACCTTCGCCCACGTAGCCGACTTGGCCTTCATGACGTCGACAGGGTCCGCGAGCATGGCGTTGCCCGCACTGTCCTCCAAGCGCTCCGTGTCAGCGTCCCTGGTCCAGCGGTGGAGCTGCCCCAACGACGCCTTTGCAGCCCAGGCGGCAAAACTTTGCCTCCCCTCCTGGAGCGCCCGACGCGCGGCATCGCCCGCCAGGTCCTGCGCAAGGTGCCGCAGGGTGTTGTTTTCGTGCCCGGGCCGCCCGAGGATCGCCTGCGCCTTGTCGGTGTACGCCTTGAGCTGGTCCGTGCGCTTGGTGGCCGAGAGCTTCCCGATGTCCCCGAGGGTGGAGCGGTGGAGGTCCAGCCGCCACTGCAGCTGTCTCGGATCCTTGCCGCTGGCCTCGAGCGCGAGGAGGGCCGTGAGGTTGGCGTGGTGCGTGGCCCAGGCGTCGGCCTCGATATGGTGGAGGTGGGCTCGCCCAGGATTGGCCGCCGTTTGCCTCCAGGTGACGCCGAAACCCCGGGCGCGACCCTGTCGCGCAGACCAGTTCGCCACGTCAGTGCCCTCATGCGTGAGGATGGCCACCTCCACCTGCGCGACCCAGGCGCCGTAGAGCTCGGCGAGACGCTCGGCCTCGGCCACCCTCGGGTCGAGGAAGGGGTGCTGCAGGAGGGCGGGGTTGAACTGGCCTGCTCGGGACCGTCAGGCCGCTGCACTGCGCCAGGTGGCAGAGGGGACCTTGAAGGGGGCGCTCGGGGCTGCGTCACCTGCGTCTTGGCGCGGCCGCAGCGCTGGGGCCGCAGCAGCAGCGTGGCCAGCGGCGCCCGAGGGGGGGTCGGGCGAGCCCCACGGGCCGCCCCCAGCGTCCCTGGCAGCAGCGTCGCAAGCGGCCCCCCCGATGGGGGCTGGGCAGGCCCCCCGGGCCGTCCGCGGCGTCCAAGGGGGCGCCGATTTGCAGCCAACACAGCCGCCCTCCTGGCTGATAATCCCGCGGGCCGCCGGGGCCCGCCGCCGCCGCCACCAGGGGGCGCCGATTTGCAGCCAACACGGCCGTCTTCTCGGCTGAAAATCCCACGGGTCGCCAGGGCCCGCCGCCGCCGCTGCCAGGGGGCGCCGATTCGCAGCCAACACGGCCGTCCTCTTGGCTGATGGCCCCCTGGCCCACTGGGGCCTGTGAATGGGCTGAAGAACTGGCTGGCCTGCCCGTGTAGTTGCAGCCAGCCTGGGATGTCGCAGAGCTCGGCCCCTCTCCACCAGCGAGGGCGCCCCTTTCATCAGGCGGGCCGACCTGGAAATGAACTGAAAAACAGGGTGGCCTGCCCGTGTAGCTGCAGCCCCCATGGGATGTCGTCGAGCTCGGCCCCTCTCCACCTGCGAGGGCGCCCCTTTCAACAGGCGGGCCGACCTGTTGAATGGACAGAAGAACTGGCCGGCCTGCTTGTGTACGTGCAGCCTGCCTGGGAGGTCGAGGTGCTCGGCCCCTCTCCACCAGCGAGGGCGCCCCTGTCGTCAGCGGGGCCGACAAGTGAATGAACTGAAGAACCCAGCACGTCACACCAATGGTCGGCAGGAGGCCCTTCCTCTGTGGTGGTCCAGAGTGCAGCGGGGCGATTCGGCAAGATGCCTCCTCGGCGCCGCCTGGCACTTGGCACGGCTGGCAATCAAAGAAAGTCAGGGGCCCCCCCTCGGGCACCGGTGCCGCCTGCAGGACCTCGCAGGGCGGGGCCGCCAGGGCCGCGGCGGGGCCTGTCCCGCCCCTCCGCGAGCGCCGCGGGCACCGGTGAGGTCGCCCGTGCGCGGCGGGTCCTCGCTGCTGGCCCGACAGACGGCTGCCAGGTGGGCGTCGAGGAAATCGCGGCCGAGCTCCGACGGGAGTATGGCCGCCCTCTTCGCCAGGGCTGCCTGGCGCTGCCTGGTCCGCTTGCTGTCAGGCCGCGCCTCGGCCTTGGGGCGCTGGGCCGCGGGCAGGCTGCGAGGGGCGCCCAGCGCCTGGTACCACCAACGCTGGCGGGCGCCTCGCAGCGTGAGCTGGAGCCCGCAATGGGTGGCCCACGGCACCTGCAGGTAGGCCTCCAGCTTGAAGAGGTGCGCGTACCCTTCCTTGGCAACGCCGAAGTCGAGGAGGCGGCCCTGGCCCTTGTCGCAGGTGGCGGCCACGTCGGGCAGGACGAGCTCCCCTCCGAGCTTGCCGATCCACTGCGACTGGGTGAGCTGCTGCGGGTCGTGGTTCCAGTCGCCGACCACAATCCACGGGGCGCGCTGCACCGCCAGGAAAGCCTCCAGGGCGACGAGCGTAGCCTTGTTGTGCTTGCCGAAGCCCAACGCAGGGTGGAGGTAGAGCACCGCGACCACGATGTTGCCCGCAGCGGTGTGCAGGACTATGGGCGCGAACCCGCACAGCGCGTCGCCCTTGGGGTCGCGCCAGTGGTCGAAGGTGGTGGCCTGGAGGTGGGCGCGGGCCGCCATCACCTCGCCACCCGTGACGCCGCCTTTGCCCGTGGAGACACCCGGGGAGTACGTCGCCTTCCAGCCGTCCTTGCGGAAGGCCTTGATGATGGTCTTGGCGTGGCTCTCGGAGCGGTGCAGCTCCACGAGCCCGATGCCGTCAAACAGCTTGGCGCGTCCGACTGGAGGAAGCCCTGCGCCTGCGGACCCCACTCCGTGATGTTGCCGTAAAGGATGCTGATGTCCGAGCTGCTGTTAGGTACGCTGCGGGACTCCGCCCCCATGTCCAGGCAGGCCAGCAATTGGAGGAGGCGGCACAGCGTCCGGAGGCTGGCCGGAAGCCGCCTGCCGCCCCATGGCCTCACGCCCCTGGGCTTCGGCGTGCTCGCCCGCAGCTCGGATGGCCTCCTTGGCCTGCTGCTGCTCGTCGGCGTCGTCCACCCTGGCGCGCTTGGCTGCAAGAGTGGCCGCCTGGTGAGCTTCGGCGCAGCGTTTCGCAGCGTTCCGCGCTTCCTCGTCGTCCTCGGGGACCTGCTGGCCGAGGGACTGAAGGAAGGCTCGGCTGGTGGCTGCCGTGTCCCAGACCGTGGTGGTGGGGACCTGGGCGACCGCGGGCTGCGGGGCCTCGAGGGGCGCCGGTGTGGCGCGGTCGCATGCCGCCTTGGCCTCCGAGATTTTCTGGAGGAGGCGGTCCTTGGCCTCTTGGAACTCCTGGCTGATCTCCAGCGCGTCAGCCCCGTCGAGGTGGTCCTCGAGCTTCGCGACGACGTTCTCGAGGACGGGGATGACCTCCGGCTCCTTCCCGCCCTGGAGCCGCTGCTTCCCGAGGTCGCCGAGGAGAGCGCGCGCCGCGGTGAGGTCCTTGTCGTGCTTGGCCTGTTGCTCCTGCTGCAGAGCCAGCTTGACCTCGAGCCGCTCGATGTCGGCCTTGGTGGTCGCGATGTCCTTGGCGACCGTGGCCGCGAGGCCCTCCAGGCGCTTGATGTCGCGGTTGCAGGCGGCGTAGCGCTTCCCGATGGGGAGGGTCTCCTGGCGCTTCGCCCGGAGGGCGTCGAGCTCGGTCTTCCAGCGAAGCACGTTGTCCTTCTCCGTGTCGCCCATGTGCTCGCCCGCCTGGACAAGGGCCGTGAGCCGCTTGATGCGTGCGAGATCCTCCGCAGCATCGCCTTGGGGCTCGGGCGGAGACGGGGCGGCCGCGGTGTCGCCGACACCAGCGCGCGCGGCGCCTTCACGGCGTGCCTGCTCGAGCTCCTTGCTGTGCTTGGCCTCGAGCTGCTGGCGGATCTTCTTCTCCATGGTCTCGTACTGCCAGGGGGCGAAATCCCCGGTGGGCTCGGACTGCGACAATTTGGGGCTGCGGTTGCGGGGGGCCGTGGGGCTGCCGCCCCCGCTGGGCGCGACCTCCCCGAACGAGATGCCCTTGTGGAGCTTGCAGCCGGCGCGTGCGAGGCTCCAACCGCTGTTGCGGAACCGCGTGCCCTTGCTGGTCTTGCAGGATTTGCACAGCCAGGGCTCGCGTTCCGTGGCCGCCCGAGCTGTCGGACGGGGCGAAGCTGCCTGGGCCGCTGCAGCAGCCCTCCTCCTATCTGGGGCCATGCCGTCGCGCGCGGGCCCGGAAAACTGTCGGGCTGAACAGCCCTAGCGCTCGCTCGGGAGACAGAGCGATCCCAGTCTGGCCTGGAGGCTGAGCGCCCCCCAAGCATCGCATCTTGAGCCCAAATGGCTACGGAGGAGGAGGACGAGGAGGAGGAGGAGGAGGAGGAGGAGGAGGAGGACGAGGAGGAGGAGGAGGGCGAGGAGGAGGAGGAGGATGAGGAGGAGGAGGAGGCGGAGGCGGAGGAGGAAGAGGAGGAGGGAGGAGGGAGGAGGAGGAGGAGGAGGAGGAGGAGGAGGAGGAGGAAGCCATTTTGCGGGCCAGCGATCCCGATCGATCCATCGGGGTCGGTCGGCGCCTGCCGCCCGATCGATCGCGGTGGCAGCGCATCCATCGGGCCCGAGGCCGGGCTCGCGCGCGCCGCGCGCCATCCTCTGCGGCAGGGGGCCACCCGTGCTTCCCTGCCCCCTGCCGCAGGCCGCGGCGCTCGCGGCCGCGCTGCGGCCCACCGGCGGGGCGCCGCCACATCGCCGAGGAGGAGGCCCAGAGGGCGCCGCACACCGCCGTGAGCGGCAGCAGAGAGCCCAGGACAGGCTCCTGCTCCGCCTGCGGGCGGCGGCTGAGCGCCTGGCCGCCCATCGCTCTGCCCAGCCAGCGATGGCGCGAGATGGGAAGGGCAGAGGCAGCGGTGGCCGAGGCGGCAAGGGCCACGCCCAGGAAGGAGCATCGCCGCCAGCAGCGCCCCCTTGGCGCCAGGAGAGGTGGCAGGGCGCTGGATGGCAAGAACAGCAGTGGAACGCGGAGCCAGCAGGCGAGGACCCGCCCTGGCGCAGAACGCTTTCACGGCCGCGGCGCTCTGGCCAGGCCAGCCCTCGCCAATGGCAACCGCAGCAGCAGCAGCAGCAGCCCAGCCAGCCCCCATGGCAGCAGCAGCAGCAGCAGCAGCAGCTGCAGCAGCAGCCCAGGGCGGGCAAAGGCGGCCAGGCCAGTTCCAGCAAAGCGGACCAGAGGGCTCAAAAAGTCATTGACTCCGTGGCAGCCTGCACGCTGGACGAGGCAACCTCCCACCCAAAGTGGCAGGCGCCCCCAGCTGACCGCGCAGGTATCCAGAAGTTCCTGAGCAGTGCGGACCAGAGGCTGAGGAAACTCGGCGACCTGGTCGTCGCCAAGCAGGCCGCGGGCGACAGCACGAAGGAGCAGCTGATGGAAATCTCGGTCATCAAATACCAGAAGCTGGTCACGAGGAGGCCGAACGACCAGCTGCAGGTGCTCAGCAAGAGGCGCAAGGCCGTCAAACTTGAGGTCATCGCCCTCGAGGCCAAGACGAACGAGCTGCGGGGCGACCTCAAGGCCAAGCAGCAGGAGTTGAGGCAGCTCGAGTCCAACATCGCCGACGTGCGGGCCGTGCTCGCCGACGGCGGCGCGGCGGACGACGAGGGCGACTGGGACACGGACGGGTTCGGCTTGGCACCGAGCTGGGATGCCTTCCACAAGGCCGTGATCGACAGGCGCCTGCACAGCGAAGCACCTGGTGACGGATTCCCAGCTTGGCCAGCGGGAGTGGTGGGGCGATCGCCACGCTCAAGAGCCAGCTCGGCAGGCAGCGCAACCAGAGGCTTCGCCGATCAGGTGGCCAAGGCGAATGCGGAGCGGGCCCGCCAGCAGCAGCGCCATGCCGAAGCCGAGCAAGAGTTTGCTGCCGAGTTGGCGGAAGTCAGGAGGGTCGCCCGAGAACAAGCACTCCGCCACAACGGCGAGCAGGCGAAACTCAGGCTGGCACTCAAGGAGGAGTCAGAGCAGCTGCAGCGCATCACCGCAGCGGAGAGCGCAGCCCAGCAGCAGCAGCAGCAGCAACACAAGGCCCTCCGCCATGATATCAAGAAGCAACAAGCCGAGCAGCTCGAGTTCGCGACGCAGATGGAGGCCAGGATAATCAGCCATGACACAGCCTTCAGTCAAGCCAAGGCAGAGGCCGAAGCTGCGACCCAGCGGGCAAATCACCTGCATGAGCAGCTTGAGCAAGTTCGAGCGGAGCACCGAGAGCAGCCGCAACCCCAGGACAGGGTCTACCAAGACCTGCTGCGGGCAAGAGCCGAGGCGCAAGAGGCATTGCGACGGGCCCAGCACGAGAGCGCCCAAGCGACAGCTACAGCGGGCACTCTCAAGCAGCAGCTCACCAGGCAGGAGCTGGTCATGGAAGAGAAGTTCCAGGAGGCCAAAAAGAACCACGCCCTCGAGCTTGAAGCTGCCGCCGAATCAGCCAGGGCCCAGGCAATCGCCCAGGCCCAAGTGGTTGCCAATGCCAAGGGAAAAGGGGCCCTCCCGCCGGCAGAAGCGGCCAGGCTGCAAGGGATCGCCCAGACAGCAGCACGGCAGCAGGAGCGGCTCAAGCAGACCAAAAGCGAGCTCGAGGCAGCTGAAGCCCGCATACACGAGATCCAGCAGTACTCCAAGCTTGAGGCGGGCGCTGCGCAGCGTGCAGTACAAGTGGCATACCATGAAGCAGCGGAGCTGAGAAGCGCCAACGAGGAGCGGCAAATCCCGCACGAGGTGCAGGCATTGCAGTTCGCCCTGCTAAGGACTAGAGCAGAGGAGGGGGAGATTGCGAAGGCCAGCCTGAAGGACAAGGAGGCAATGCGGGCAGAGCTCGAAGGCAGTGCTGAGCGAATAAGGTCGAGTCTCACCCGCCAAGTCATGATAGAAGAGGCGAACGCACATGACTTGCAGCTGCACACAGAGAGCCTGCGACAGGAACTGAGCAGCTACGCGGTGCAGCTGAGCGGGCAAAGGTCCAACGCAGAGGTGCAGGAGCAGGCGCTGGAGGAGGAGCTCGCCAAAGCCCTCGCCTTCAGGATCGCCAGCATGGAGGAGGCCTCCGCCATGGAAGACTTCGCCAGCCAGCAGAGGACGGGCAGGGAGGAGGCCATTCACCTCGCGCTGCAAGAAAGCCTCCAGCGCTCCAGCACGCTGCACACCGAGCTAGACGCCATCGCAAAGAAGGAGCAGCAGGGCGCGTCGGAGACAGAGGAGCTAAAGCTGAGAATGCAGAGCCTGGAAGCCATTGCAGCCAGCAGGGAACGTGAACGCAAGGCCATGGTCAACCTGTACGCCGAGATGAGGCAATACGGGCAGGAGGGCTACGACTTCACCAAGAGGGCAGCTCATCACCTCGTCCAAGGGGGCCACCTCCCAACGTCCCAAGAGTCCATGGACGACTACCAGGAGGCCGCTGACCTGTACGAGAAAGCCAGAGGAGCAGCCGAGGCAGCGACCGCCACAGCGGAGTCCCCCGTTGCGACCAATCTCCAAACTGGTGCAGCCGAGGAGCGCCCAGCCAACAGGGGCCGCAGGCAGAGCAGCTCCTCGCCTCGGAGGCCAGCATCAACCAGGTCAGCCAGGTCAGCAGCCCGCCAGACCGACGAAGGCGATGCCCCCCTCATAGAGCGTGACAGGTCCAGGAGCCCCGACAGGCCAGACCCGCACGAGGAGGCAGAAATATACGAGCGCGAACACGATGAGTTGCGCAGACAAGATGCTGAGGAGAAAGCACAATGAGAGGCCGTACAGATGGAGGAGGAGCTGGAGTCCGTAGTGAGGGACCACGAGGCGAAGGAGATCCAAAGGCGCTACCACGAGGAGGCCCCCTTGACCCAGTTCGGCACAGCGGGCGCGCAGGACTCCCGAGCGGAGGACGACGGCTCGGAGCATGCGCCGATGATCTACCCCGCCAGCTGGCCGCCCTGGAGCCAGGATCACCCCGCACCCGAGGAGGGTGAGGAGATGAGGGGGATCACGCAGCACGAGGCAGACACAGACATGGCATCCACGTCAAGGGCTAGCTCGGTACCAGCAGAGCAAGGCGACCCTCCTACCCCGACAGCATCTCAGGTAATCTTCATCCCAGCATCGCCAGCGCCACTCAGCGAGAGGTCACTCACGCCCACAGTTCCATTCGGGCATGATGAGCAGCGTGGCCATGGAGGTGGAGAGGGAGCCGACAGCTTCGTATTGACCCCTCCCCCTGCGTCCCAGCAGAACGCGGAGGCGGCAGCGGCCAGCATCGAGAGGCAGTGCGAGGGCATCGACATCATGACGCGCCAACACACCTCAGCCGCCGCCGCAGCTGCAGCCCTCGAAGAGGCGTTTGGACCCGCGCCCGCATTTCCAGGAGAAGACATCAGCCAGGCCCACAAGGGTCAGCGGGTAGACTCTGGAGAGTCAGGCATAGCACGTTTTCGTGGCCGAGTGGCCCGCAGGAGGGACGAGACAAGGGGCACAGCAACCCCCTCCCCTCCTGCAACTCCTGGAGCCGAGGAGCAGGCAGCAGCAGCGCCCGCTGAATCCCCCCGAGGGGGGGAGGGGGCCTAGCAGCGCCGCCAGGCTTCAGGCCATGCATGACAGAATTCACTGCCAGGAGGCGGCCGATGAGTCCAACAGGGCAGAGCACGACGGATGTGGGATTTCTTCACGCTCTCCGATCAGTTCGACAGCATCGATCTCCTGGGCAGCATCGGGGAGAGCAGCTGGGGCCCAAAGCCCGCAGCACGGCAGTGGGGTCCTCCACTACGATGCTCGACCTACCCACCACCAGAGGCTTGAAAGCACGGCGGGCCCTGGGGTTAATTGCGACAGCCGTCTAGTAACAAATAGACCAGCGGAGATTCCGACAGTCTCACGCACCAGATCAGGTACTCCCAGGAGTCCAGGGTCCCGAGGGGCCACGACTCCAAGCAGATGTGCTACCGCAACTGGCATTGGCAGTGGGAGGGCCACTCCCAATCGCAGCAGCCAGCATCAACAGCGGTATCAGTCACCTGGGTCTCGAGGGGCCAACGTGACACCACCACGGCCGACACGAGGGCCGCCCGCCGCGTCTCGAGGGGCGCTAGGCGGCAACCAAGGAGGCACACTACCAGGGATGAGTGATGCATCCGCCAATCTGTCAGCACTTCAGGTCACAAGCCACCAAGATGGCTGCAAGGATGCGTTACCGGCTGCCCTT